TCATATGATTGTTGGGTTTTTCTCTGTATCTATGAAGCGCCTTGAGGCGACTTTTGTTGTGATTTGGCGCTATATAAATAAAATTGAATTGAATTATTCACACATGTACTCTGTCTAGCTTCTACTGACTTTTATTCCTCTCATCTCCAGAGCATACCTGCACCATACTCTCGCTAAAGAACACAATATCACCTGCAGAGATCATGGTCCATGGAGACTCCTGCCTGACCTCATCTGTCAGCCTGTCCATCACCACTGCAAACAAGGAAAATCTCAGTGCTGATGCCCGCTGTACTGCACACGCCACTACCGTCTCACTATCCTCATACATGCACCAATTCAACATTTTTAAACTGCAGCATAAACGTTTTGCTAACGTTTATGTTATAATGTGCATATTCGAGTTTTATCCAAGTAAATATGCAACAAGCAACTTTTTTTTTATATAACGCTTTCATCCCACCGCTAAAACAGGAAGCCCCAAATCTTAAAGTACCTCTCTTGCTCCGTTGCAGATTCAGGGTTAGAATAACACAACGCAACAAAGGATACGGTGTCGTGCATGCAATGTGTAAAAGATAAATTACTGCATATACACACATATATACATATATATCTGCCACAGGTGTTACTGCAGCGCAGCGCTGACCATCATGCTAATGTCTAACTTGGACGGCTAGCTAGCGGTCTGGACGGTTGGCTACCAAACAAAAACACATCGTTATTTCCACCCAAACATCTGTTTTTCGAAGCAAAAAACATACAACTGACATTTGGTTTATAATACAATTTTAAGAAATGCTCACTTTATGTGAAATAAATGTTTTACTCACATGCGACGGTTTCTCCTGCGATTCATTGGCTCTCTGTAAAGGGAAGGTCGTCACTTTCCACAAACCACCAATAGAAATGACCCATTGTTGTCTTGATGAACGTCACATCCGGGTGAGGATGGACTTATTTAAATTCGAATTTTTTTACGACTTTAAAACGTAGTTTTTGATGTTTAGTTAAAATTGCAATATAAAACAAGCACACATAGGGGGTAGAACAAAAATTCAAACGTGTTGTTAGACTCATAAATCAAATTAATAATTTTGCCAATTTATTTCTGAGATATCACAAGTTTTTGATTTAGTGACATGGTATGTTAGAGTTATTTGATCAAAGTTTCAAGCTCCCCTGTATTCAGCAACCTTGGCTAGGATATTATGGATTCTTAGTGCAATGCGATTTTTCATAGTCTGCAAAATCTAAATTCTTTCTTGTATTTATTGGTCACATCTATAAAGGAGCAATTAGTCCACATTTACAACATTACAACACAACCACAAAGAAAATCACAAATGTACACCTACACAGTACACACAAAAACAGACAAAACCTGTGAATATATAGAAACATGTAGAGTTGGAGCATATCCAAAGTGCTTGTTCTGTGTATCCCATGCTGAATGCGATCCTTCAGTGTTTGGGGCAGTAGAGCTCTCTGGATCTTGAACTGCCCAGCTGCTCCTCCTCTGTGCTCTGCTGCACATAGATTCTTTGACGACAGACCAGTGATGACAGTTCCAGCTGCTCCTTAAAGGCCCTGGAGGGAGAAAGAAAAAAAGTGATAGTTTTTAAAGGTTTTGATAAAGTTGCCATACCCACACGGTTACACAACCTGTGAAGGAACAAAACAATCATAATCTAACACAGCAAAACACAACATTCTTTATACATGTGCCTACCCGGACAGCTGCTGACTGATGTCCTTTGATGTTACTTTTATGTCTCGAAGGCACTCCAGAGATGTGCTGTTGTCCTTATAATCACCCTCTGTGCACTCCAACAGCAATTTCTCACTCTCCTTTAAGGATGCCACAGCTTTATCTGAAAGGGGTCGATTTAAATTATATTTATACAAACAAACAAAACAAAAAAAACAACAACAACAACAACAACAACAGGGGGTTCATCAGAAAACACAATATAATTTTCTCCAAGCTACATACCACATATGACTTTTGTTGTAACAAAAGCCCACAGTGGTTATACAGTTTTAAATGGCTCATGTAATCACTCATGTAAATGCCTCAAAAATATATTTCTAAATATAAAATTAGACTTAAAACAAGGGTCTTACCATAGCCTTACAGTATACCACTATCTTGTAAAATCCAAGCAACAGAGCCCAAGCAAAACTTGATTCATGGAAGAATTTTATTTTATTTATTTGTAAATGCAGTTCTTTAAGTCTTTTTTTATTTTTCCAGTCAGAGCACCCCCTGCTGGGCACTTTGTTATTAAACCACAGCTAAATCACCCCAAGTATATTTTT